GTTTTGTAAAAATCGACGCGTTTCAAAAAGGCGGGGCATAGAGGAGAAACAATAATGTACAGTATGTGGAAAATAATGTGTTTTTTTAACTTTAAACCACATAAACACATTTCATTACACCAAATACACAAAATAATGTTCTTTTTAGCAGCATCATATGACCCCTTTAACAAATACCTTACTAACTATTAATAATCAGCAAATTAGGAGTTTATGGAGGCAAAAGTCATAGCTAATGGTTTAGCGAGAATTGGACCTTAAAATAAAGTGTGACTGTAAAGATCAAACAGAAGAATGTTCTGTTTATACTGTGATTAAACAACATACATTCAAGTCAATATGAAACCACATTCTTTATCCATTTTACTATGGCAAAATTCCAAGTGAAACAGGATATTTAGTCTAAATAATGCCTAAATATCTATTTGACCTATCCCTTAAAATACAAAGCACCAATATCACTGAATCATTAACAAAAGACCCACGTGTGTTGAATGTTGACTTTAAACAAAAGTCAAAAGGTCAAAAACTAAACAAAACACAAAAAGCAAAACACAAAAAAGTGTGACTGTAAAGATCAAACAGAAGAATGTTCTGTTTATACTGTGATTAAACAACATACATTCAAGTCAATATGAAACCACATTCTTTATCCATTTTACTATGGCAAAATTCCAAGTGAAACAGGATATTTAGTCTAAATAATGCCTAAATATCTATTTGACCTATCCCTTAAAATACAAAGCACCAATATCACTGAATCATTAACAAAAGACCCACGTGTGTTGAATGTTGACTTTAAACAAAAGTCAAAAGGTCAAAAACAAAACAAAACACAAAAAGCAAAACACAAAACAAAGCAAAGCAAAGCAAAACAAAACAAAAAATAAAACAAAACAAAACAACAAAACACAAAACAAGGCAATGCAAAGCAAAACAAAACAAAAAATACATCCAGCCAGGACATACAGTTGCCAAATCAAATAAGCATTCATCCACAAAAAGTCAGTTTGTACAGTTATATGCGGTTTAAAAAAAGACTTTAAACAAAAGTCAAAAGGTCAAAAACAAAAAACAAAATAAAACAAAGCAAAGCAATGCAAAACAAAAAGACCATAAGCATGTATTAATAAAGCAAATGAGGTGGTTTTAAATCCATGTTTGCCATTCAGGCCAGTACTGCAGATTTTCATTCATGAAATCAATCAATCAATCAATCAAAACTGTCAGTTAAAAAATTACGGTGCCGCTTGAAAGTTTGTGAACCCTTTAGAATTTTCTATATTTCTGCATAAATATGACCCAAAATATAATCAGTTTTTCACAAGTCCTGAAAATAGACAAAGAGAACCCAAACAAACAAATGAGACAAAAATATTTTCTTTTTCATTTATTTATTGAGAAAAAACCCAATCAAACAAATGAGACAAAAATATTTTCTTTTTCATTTATTTATTGAGAAAAATTATCCAGTGTTACATATCTGTGCGGTGCAACCGTATGTGAATCTCTAGGATCAGCAGTTAATTTGAAGGTGAAATTAAGAGTCCATCTGTTCAGAGGTGTTTTCAATCAGTGAAATTACTATCAGGTGTCAGTGCGTGCCCCGTTTCATTTAAAGAACAGGGATCTATCAAAGTCTAATCATGTTTGTGGAAGTGAATCATGGCACGAGCAAAGGAGATCTCTGAGGACCTCAGAAAAAGAGTTGTTGTTGCTCATCAGGCTGGAAAGGTTTACAAAAACATCTCTTCGCAAAGGAACCCAGGGTAACTTCTAAGCAACTAAAGGCCTTTCTCACATTGGCCACCATCAGAAGAACACTGAACAACCATGGTGTGCATGGTAGAGTTGCAAGGAGAAAGTTACTGCTGTCCAAAAAGAACATTGCTGCCCGCATCTGGACCAGGACAGCTTGCCATCATTGATGGAACAATGAATTCTGAATTATACCAACAAATTCTAAAGGAAAATCTGTGGACTGAATCTCAAGAGAAAGTGGGCCAAACAGCAAGACAACAACCACAAGAACATAAGTCGTTTTACCAAAGAATGGTTAAAGAAGAACAATGTTAATGTTTTGGAATGACAGAGTCAAAGTCTGGACCTTAATCCAATTGAAATGTTGTTGTGCATGGTGCATCCAAAAAGAACATTGCTGCCCGTCTGCAGTTTGCTAAAGATCATGCGGACAAGCCAGAGGGCTATTGGAGATACAATGTTAATGTTTTGGAATGACAGAGTCAAAGTCTGGACCTTAATCCAATTGAAATGTTGTGGAAGGAGCTGAAGCAAGCAGTTCATAGGAGGACACCCATAACATCACAGAGTTGAAGTGGTTTTGTACTGAGGAAGGGGCTAGAATTCAAGCCGATCAGCAGTTACAAGAAACATTTACCTGCAGTTATTGTTGCAAAAGGGGGTCAGACCAGATACTGAAAGAAAAGATTCACATACTTTTGCACCCCACAGATATGTAACACTGGATAATTTTTCTCAATAAATAAATGGCAAAGAAAATATTTGCGTGTCATTTGTTTGTTTGGGTTCTCTTTGTCTATTTTCAGGACTTGTGTGAAATTTAGATTATGTTTTGAGTCATATTTATGCAGAAAAATAGAAAATTCTAAAGGGTTCACAAACTTTCAAGCAGCACTGTGTGTATATATATATATATATATATACTGTATATCAACAAATGAAATACACTGAGGCCCAATAGGGCAAGTGACTGTCAGTGAACTGGCACTGAAATCCTCTCACACTGCCCCTCTTCTTTATTGTTAAGCACTGATGTTGACTTTTTCAGAGGTTACACTGCGTCACATTAAAATGTGAATGAATGAATGAAAGAATAAGACGATGAAAGGCGAACAAGCATAAATGAAAGTGTCAGATAAGAATGCTGAAAACAGAAGCACTGCTATCCAAGACAGGAAGTAATTCACACTTGTAGTTGTCATGGTGACAGCCATGAAGCGGCGAAGGAAGGTGAGAAAGAACGACAGAGAGCGAGAGAGCAAGAAAGAGAAAAAAGCAGTGTGACGGCAAAACAAAACCACAGGAGCAGCGCAGTACGAACTTCCTGCCGTCACGGCATCACTTCCTCTTTCGTCAACCTGCTCTGTGGGAAAGTGAATGAAGAGCGATGGCCAACATTAAACACACACACACGTCAGCAACTCTGTGTTGAGTCAAAGCATTTTTCACACCGTTAAAGAAAATACATGCACCCTGTAGAAGTGTGAAGATGAATTTCACAGGTACTCTCCTCCACCCAGACGACACACACCTCTGAAGTTATCAACACAGCATCCACATGTTGCAGAAAGCATGTGAAGCACCTGAAACCGCAGTAGTAAACCAAATACAATTTCTAGTTCATATTTCCATCATTTCGCATGTTCATGGTTCTCTGATGTTGGTTAATATTCACATGACTTGCAGAAAAACTAGTAAGTATTTAGATTTTTTTTTTATAAAATAATTTTAGAATTATTTATTTACAGCATATGGCTGAACAATTGGGTTAAAAAAGAAATTGTGATTTATTTGTCATGAACTGCGGTATGATAATGATACATATCACCTTATAAGAAAACGTCTCATGCTGCTGCAAAAAGAACAGAGACCACACTGTGATGAAAATAAGTTCAGTCTTCACAAGACCTTATTCATTGGTGATGACAATAATAATAATAATAATAATAATAATAATAAATACATATTATTTATAACTCTAATTCTATAAAAACGAAGACAAAAAATCTGTTATTGTAAGATTATAATTGTGATTTAAAGAAAAAAAATATTTGATCATTTTAATGTATATAAAATAAATTAGTATATATAATAGATAGATAGATAGATAGATATTAATATTATAAAAAAATTAAAGACAGAAATATAGTACTATTGTAACAATACAATTGCACTTCAACTAAAAAATATATTCTAAATATTCTAAATTAAATTCTAAATATTCTAAATTAAATTAAATTCTACATAATACGGTTATAATTATATATATATATATATATTTTTTTTTTAGCATATTTTATTTTTCACTAAACATTACAATACAAATATATGTCTTAAAAGCTTGAGAGTTTAATGTTTGAAAGAATTTATTTAAACAGAAAACTGCAGGGTGACCTTATGGTCTTCATAAACACTTTTTGTTACAAATCAGATAAAATGCTAAAAACGTGTTCAAAAATGATGCCAGTGTGAAAATAAATGTACAGCATGCAGAGATGGAACCCCCCCTTTGTCCTCAGTCACAGGAAAATAATCAAGACAATGCTGATTGGCTGATGTCACAACATGAACCTCCCAGTTACAATCCTTCACTAGTGACTACATTGAGCTGACGGCAGGGCAAAAAAAGCCCATTCTACACTTTTAAAGCTCCTCTTAAAAAGTCACAGGATACTACAATATGGCTATTGGACTGGATACTAGTGAAACAAATACTACTGACATAGCCCATATGCTTTTGACATAAAAAAGATTTTAAACTGTATACTATTAGAACACACAGTTACTTATGAATTGCCAACAATGGATAAAGATGATTTTTAGAACCACATGCTGTAGTTAAGACATCTACCAGCAAGGGATAAAGGGGCCCTTCTGAGTAGCCAAACCTTGGCGTCTTAATTCGATATCCTGTTTCACTTTTAAGAATGTAACAGTACAAATGTACAATGGGTTATGAATGCCAATTCACGTTGAGCTCAAATACACTAAATAAATGCACGGACAGACAAGAATCACTTACTGAACCACAAGCTGTTGGCAGATGGAACCATTCTCTGTGATCAGTTCATTCAGCTTCATCTCTAAATGAACCTTCCCCTGTAAAAGTAAAAAGACTTATTATGGGATAACACAAGCCAACAGACTCCAGAACTCAGTGTGCCAGCATTCACAAATTACATACAAAAGAAAACAATTTTTTTATTTTTTCCCCTTACACATATATATATATATATATATATATATATATAATTTGTATAAATAAATAATGCTTTGATATCTTATCGAATACAATGACTTTTTAATTCAGACATTCATACTTTTTAAATGTTTGTTAAGTTCATAAATACTTTTAGGGCCACTGTATATGATATTCAGATGATAGGATCTTTCGCACAAACCATCATTCAGACGTCTGCTTAAAACAAAAAAGTAATCTGAAATACAGAATGTGTTTTGAGGGCCGTGGCACTGAAGATCAACTACTGGCATGTTTATGATATAATATGATATATATTGAAATAACCTATCCAGCCAGTCAAATTTGTTGAGGCTGATAATGTTGGAATGAGAAAGATTGCAAACAGAGGAGAGGTGAGGAGGAAAGGACAGGGAGGGAGAAAGATAGAGAAGAAAAACAAAATAAAAACACCCACATACTCCTACGCAATATTTTGTGCAAGTTCCTTTGAGAAATGACGCCGAAAACGCACCAATAATTCAATGTTAACAGATGTCCAAAGTTGATACTAAAGAATCACTTTTTAAAAATAGTTACAAGTTTTGTTTTTTAAATACTTCAAAATGCAAATCTATTCTAATCATTTAACCCTGCAGAAGACAAAAGTATAGATCTATTTGCAAGATCACATCTACAATGGATTAATTATAGAGCAATTCATTTCATAAGTATGTGGAAACAAAAAAACTAGTTTAGTGTAAATAAGTTGTTTAAGTTTTTAGAGTACGTAAGGGCTTAAAAAAGCGATATAGGAACGTCTTGTGATTTCAGCCAGTTCTGGGTGGCTCTGAACATTATCTGACAGAACTGCCACCCACCCTTTTCTCGTCCTCAGGGTTAAAGACACATACACCACAGTGTTTAACCGGTGTCGTAAAGTAACGCTGCAACATGTAGACTCGAGGGATATATGAAATCTATCAAGATTTTTCAGCATTTTGACAATTTTCTATATATATCATGATATTTATGTTTTTAGTCTGAAGTAAGCATGAGTGTGTCCTTTTTAGTCAGAAAAAGGTGATTGTTGACAAGCAGATTAAAAATGATAAAATGTAAGAACTGCAAAATGCAGTAAAACAGTAAAATGTTTAGGTCACACTTTATTTTAAGGTTCAATTCTCACTATTAACAAATCATTTACTATGACTTTTGCCTCAATAAACTCCTAATTTGCTGCTTATTAATCATTAGTAAGGTAGTTGTTACGTTTAGGTATTGGGTAGGATTAGGGATGTAGAATATGGTCATGCAGAATATGTGCTTTATACAGTAACTACTAATAAACAGCCAATATGTTAATAATAGGCATGCTAATAAGCAACTAGTTAATAGTGAGAATTGGTCCCTATACTAAAGTGTTACCAAAGTTTAAAATAATATTTTTTTCTAAATGAATATGGTTACAAATAATCCCTTTTATTTATATGCACCAGTACAACAATACACTATAATAAACAGCAATGTTTTTACAAAAATATTTTAATATATGAAAGGTTACACATAGACTTCCCAAGAACAATTCTGTGTGATTGCAAACAAATCACTGAATCGGAGTCTGAATCTAATAATTGACAAAAAAATAAATAAAAATGATGATGATCAATTGTAAAGTCAGTGAAGTCGCAAAGCGACTAAGAAGGGAGGATTGCGAAACTAGTCTGCAAACATGGATGCTCTGAGTTAAGCTATGCAAAGAAGCTGAAATGTGACAAACAATTTTATAATGAAATAGTCTAGTTTATTAAAGGGTTTTTAATTTTTAACCATGTGAGTGCCTTGAAGTATTATATTGTTTCACTAGTCTGTAAACATTACTTTTTTTTGTTTTAGATGACTTCTTTGTTTAAATCAGACTTCTGATTTATGGACACATCCTATCATCATATACAGTGGCCCTAAAAATATTTAGACACTTAACAAACACCGTATAAAAAGTTTAAAAAGAAAACAAATAAAAAGGCAAATAAAATTAGCACAATATTCAAAATATTGCCAAAAACTGACGTTATCAATATGCATATAAAATGTAGAGACACTTATGCAGAAGTTTGGTTGCTTGGTTTACTTTCCTCGGTTGAAAAAATGGCAAATCGCTATTTGTAATTGTCTTTCCATTGTGTCTGTGTGTGTGTGTGTTTTAACAAATACATTGCAAAAGTATTTTTTTCACAAATACATCACAAGTATTCTAAATATCTCTATATTCTGATTAAAACTGATGTTATCAACACTTACGTAGAAACTCTGCTTGCTAGTTTTACTTTCTTTGGTTGGAAAATTGGAAAACTGCTATTTGTAATTATACATGTAAAAATACATTGCAAAAATATTTTTTAAAAATACATCGCAAGTATTTAAAAAGTATTCCAATTAAAAGCGATGTTATCAATACACATACAAAAAGTGGAAACTCTTATGCAGAAACTTGCTTGCTTGGTTTACTTTCCTCATTAATTTCCAAAAGTAGCAAACCGCTACTTGACATTGTCTTTCCGTTGTGTATGTGTTTTCTTTTTTTTGAAAAAGACTTTTTACAAAAACAAATTCCTTTACATAAACAGTTTTTGTTTCTGATACAGTCCACACCCCGTGCCCCTGGTTCTGCTGAACAGTGAATCATACTTGTGTACAAAACAGATCCGTGCATACACCATACACAAAAACAGGATGTGGAGTTGGTCCTGCATCTGCTTTCAAGTCATTGGACCACATATAAGTGCTGACTAATCATACATTGATCTCATTGGGTATGGCGAGGCAATGAGTAATCATAAACTCACCCGATTGGCCCAAACCACGGCTGGAGACTAACCACAGAAGGGAAGTAAGGTTGTGTATTCATGTATTGCTCTGTTGGGTGTGTGTTTGTGTATTAAAATGATAACTTCTATGCCATCTAACCGTTCACTCACCTGAACTTCTGAGTGTGGATCCACAGGCTGTAACTGGAACCAGTTCTCTTTCCCGCAGTACTTATATAGATCTTCCTTCCTGATGGCTACTTTCCCTACAAACACACATGCAAGCCTTAGTTGACATGTACACTGTGTCTTGTAAATGAGACAAAACAAGAGCAAAAGATACTGACCTACAGGTAGATCCCTTATTTGGAACATGCTCTTAGCGTACACGTAGAAGGACAGGCATTGGAATGGGCGTGGAATTTCAAAGTAGAAGTCCTCGCCATAGAACGGACTAAAGCACATGAAAAGGGAATGTTAATCACAAGCACAGTTTGTTTTCACAAACTACCTGCATTAACAAAATACCTGCAAAAAATAAATATAATCAATATCACCTGGCTGTTACAGATCAAAATGTACAGCATGGCACGAGCATCACAATGGGTTTGATTCCCAGGAAAAGCAAGGACTGATAGAAAGTGTACCTTGAATTCAGGTCGCTTCGAATAAAAGCATCTGCTATATGTATAAATGTAAATGCATGTTATTTATGTTTTGCAGTACAGTAATGAGAAGGATATTTTTTTTGCATTATATCATGTTCTAACCAGGTGCAATGCAAAAATTAAAAAAATTGTCTCCACAAATTTTAAAATAGGGCATGATGCAATACATCATAAGCGTATTCTGTCATATAGCATTTATTTCTATGGTTTTCTTCGTAGAACTTGTGATTTGCCACATAATACTCTGTAAAGAATATTGTAAAAATAGGCCACAATGTACTGTATTAATATGAAGGAATTTTCCATATTTATTTTTTTACAGGTTTTTTACCTAGGCTATATTTTAAATTTTGCACTTCATTACATTGTGTTTTACTGCATTTACTTGCATTGTACTAGCAGACAATTTCCAGTACATTTTACTTTTTGTACAGTGTATGACAGTATATTGTATTCTAAATACAGAAACAAATACAGCAACAAATACCGAAACGCGCTGCAAATACTCACAACACAAACAAATACAGAAACACGCTGCAAATACTCACAACACCCAAATACAGAAACACGCTGCAAATACTCACAACGCTCAAATTCCGAAAAGCGCTGCAAATACTCACAACACCCAAATACAGAAACGCGCTGCAAATACTGACAACACCCAAATACCGAAACATGCTGCAAATACTCACAACGCTCAAATTCCGAAAAGCGCTGCAAATACTCACAACACCCAAATACCGAAACATGCTGCAAATACTCATAACACTCAAATACCGAAAAGCGCTGCAAATACTCACAACACCCAAATACAGAAACACGCTGCAAATACTCACAACACCCAAATACCGAAACATGTTGCAAATACTCACAACGCTCAAATTTCGAAAAGCGCTGCAAATACTCACAACACCCAAATACCGAAACATGCTGCAAATACTCACAACGCTCAAATTCTGAAAAGCGCTGCAAATACTCACAACACCCAAATACAGAAACGCACTGCAAATACTGACAATACCCAAATACCGAAACGCGCTGCAAATACTCACAACACCCAAATACAGAAACGCACTGCAAATACTCACAACACACCCAAATACAGAAACACGCTGCAAATACTCACAACACAAACAAATACAGAAACGTGCTGCAAATACTCACAACACCCAAATACAGAAACGTGCTGCAAATACTCACGGCACCCAAATACTGAAATACTCACAACACAAACAAATACAGAAACACTCTGCAAATTACTCACAACACAAACAAATACAGAAACGCACTGCAAATACTCGCGGCACCCAAATACAGAAACACTCTGCAAATACTCAGAACACCCAAATACAGAAACGCACTGCAAATACTCGCGGCACCCAAATACAGAAACACTCTGCAAATACTCAGAACACCCAAATACAGAAACACTTTGCAAATACTCACACAACACCCAAATACAGAAACACGCTGCAAATACTCACACAACACCCAAATACAGAAACACGCTGCAAATACTCACAACACAAACAAATACAGTAACACGCTGCAAATACTCACAACACCCAAATACAGAAACACTCTTCAAATACTCAGAACACAAACAAATACATAAACATTCTGCAAATTACTCACAACACAAACAAATACGGAAACACTCTGCAAATACGTCGGAACACATCGGAAATGTTTAAGGGAACCGCAAAGTGACGAACATGGTTAGGACATTGCTTATCAATGTTTGCTCTGAAAGGTGAGGTTTTTGTTTATTTTAACATCCTGATCATACGATTCCTTAGCTTTTTTTTTTTTGATATTCTAAATAAGTTAATGAAATACACAATTACTTCAACTATGAAAGGTTATGTAAGCTGGCTAATTTACTTTTACAACTTCCCTTACAAAAATTAACCTTGGCTTTACTATTAAAATAAATAAATAAATAAATGTATTATGTACAAAATAAATATAAATAAAAATAGTTACTAGTTAACCCATGGTAACCACAAATTAACCATGGTTTTGCTACACTAACCATAGTATTTGTACAACTGTGGTTATACAAATGGTAATCAATACGCAAAAATAAATAAAAATGAAAAAAATAAAATAAAATAAAAATAAATAAATAAAATACATTTGAAAAATTTGGTACTTTTAACCATGGTTAATTTTAGTTTTGTTGGCATTGCTGTTTGCCATTGTTGTAGTCTGTGCTACTTGCACTGCGTTTTTGTTTTTGGTTGTGTTTTGTGTTTTTCAGCACGTTTTTGTTTTTGGTTGTGTTGTGAGTATAAAGATGATAAAGATATATTCTTAATTTGCTGGTGCTTTTTCTATTTGCATGTGTTTTATTAAGTTGCAGTGCATTGTCTCTCGGCCACCATACAATAAGCTTTTCGGCAGTACAACATAGAAATGGTAATCGATTGAAAGATCGCAGAAAGCATTTCAAATATGTAGTCACTTTAACGTGTCACAGCTGGTCAGGCCAAAGTAAGTCTAGGTAATGGGAATTTGATGTACTATACTATTTATGTACTATACTATACTATTTAATGGCCACGATATGAATCAGTTTGTGAGATTCAAATTATCTTAATATAAAATACAATTTTATATAACATTTCAATAGATACAATTACATTCAAAATTTCTGTGACACTTTGTTGTTGTGAAATGTTAGTGGATCATGTTCATAACTAAATGTAATGGACTACACTTGGTTACTCTGCTCAGCTTAATTGTCCAAACACTTTTTGGGGTCAAATTAAGCTAGGAATTTAAAAAACTGTATATCATAACAAAAGTGTCCAAAAAAACGACAGATTAAAAAGGTTCAATGTGCAAAAAAATCACTTCTAGCTGTGTGACTGCAACAGTCAAATACCTCAGCTGAGACTTGAGCGGAGAATGCTCATCCACCCACACACACTCCAGCTCTCTTACACACACACACAAATTACACACTCATTGCCCCCGCACTGAAGAGCGCATGCGCTCCCACATACATTCACACACAAACGGATTCTGACCTCCTGCTGCTACAGGTAAAACCACTCGACTCCAAATACAAAAAACGTGGCGACACGGCATACATGAATAGCCTCAGATTCAAAAGTGTTTAATAATAAGCCAGATGAGAGAAAGAAATATTAGGAGAGGTGAAGAAAGACTTGAGGAAAAAACTTCAATCTCTGAGAGAGGCTGATTGCAAACGAGTGTGTGAGCGAAAGACAAGGAGCGATAGATAGCAAGTGTGAGAGAGAAAAGTGAGGGAACGCGTAGGTGGACACCCTTCCTTAGACACAGCCAACAGAGCCCTTTGAACAGAAGGGAAAAAAACAGTTGTGAAATACCACGAGAGGAAAAGCCTTCAGAAAGAGAGTGAGATAAAGAAAATGTGCTTCTTTCAATGACTAGACGCTTTTGCAACTGAAAGTGTACACAACGTAATATCATCAAACACAATGTTGTACGACCGATATCAAGATGAACTATCAGACAAAGTAAATCTGGTGCACAATGGAAAGTCAACTTTGAGTATAATGAAAAAAAATTTTTTTTAAATTAAAACGGAGTATTGAAGCTCTCCACACCATTTATACAACTACAAATCTTGCATAGAATTGCATTGAAAAATATCTTAAGAGAATTGGGATGAGAATTGGACTCTTTTGAACACCCTAGCAACAACCCAAAACACCCTGATAACATGCTAAAACACAGAATAGCTTAAAGCGATAGTGAAAATTCCATCATCATTCGCTCAACCTCATGTTGTTGACTTCCTTTCTTCCATGGAACATAAAGATATTTTGAAGAACGTTTGAACTGTTTTTGTCCTAACAATGAAAGCCAATGGGGTCCAAAATAATTTCAGACCCCGTTTTAATGTTTGGGGGGGGAAAAATAAACTCAAACACTTTTCAAAATATTTTCTATAATACCTTCTAAAAAATATCTTCTATAAATATAATAAAGCAATATGAAGCAGAACAAATGATGACAGAATTTTCAACAGGACGAATTATCTCTTTACCATCTCCAAAAAAAAAAAAAAATCTTGTGTTAACAACTACATTAATTGAAGTCAAATTATTAACATCACCAAACACCAACAGAACTAAATTTAGGGGTTAGATCAGGCACAAATTAGGGTAACAATTGTGGGTTACCATGTTCCACAAGTACTACTGACAGGATGTTTAAATTAGGCTTGCCGCGATAGACGGTGTTGACGGTGATACCGGTGTTAAGCCGCAACACCGGTTACGTCACTTGCCCACCGCGTCACCGACCCCCACTGTCGTTTTGATTTTTTATAGTAATAAAAATCATTTAGTTAAGTAAAACAACAGACACTACGATTAAAACTGAGCGATTAACCGGTGGGAAAATTTCCTCACCGACACAACCCTAGTTTAAATCTATTTGTATATTGTAATATACCTATTTGAGCAACTACCGTGAAAGATGAAATAAAACAACATAAAAAGGCAGTGTTTCCGAACTCGTTCGGATTACGTGTACATGGCAGACAGAAAAAAAATATAGGCCTGCATTTTTGTGAAGCAGCATGAAAACCACATATATGAGAAGGGCTGTAAGATAAATATCATCAACATCAGCATGTAGTTTGTATGTGACGTTGGTGTGCTTATGTGTACCAGAGTGTGTGTTTACTGCCTCACCTTACACTCTTCTCATAGACTTTTGTGCGATATACTTCCTCCTGGTCCAAACTGATTGTACAGAAGGTGCAGAGGTCACGGAGGCGGTTCGGCCCTGAGCTCGGACCCAAATTCTTTGCTTCGCCTGCCGAAAGAATAACAAGGGTGTAAGAAGTCACACAATATTATTCACATTATTGCATTACTTCTCCCAAAAGTTGAAATCCCAATGTGTGGAAAAGCTGTCTTCTCCATAAGAACCTTTAACATTTTTCACAGCAAAATTTTTATTTTTATTTTTTATTTTTGGTATCTGAACACTGCATTCGAATTAGAGGCTTGTCAGTTGTGGGGTCGGCAATGTACGGCCACTACACACACTATTGTGCGCACACACTTGCAGGAGCGCTGTGGTGGTGCAGAGGCTTGAGGCGGATGTGGCCGCTGTACGTGGAGCTCATCTAAGATGTGGTTACAGACGAGAAGCATTAACTTCCTCCCAGCATGCACTGGGGCTTCCAGAAGAGCGCTGATTCAAAAGATCAAATTCAAAAGCACACATACACAACCACACGTATTAATGTGTCAGAGGGCAAATGTAGCCATAACTAATCCAGACCACATCAAACCAGAACGACACAGCTAGAGATGTTTTCTGAACGCAAGAACAATTAATAAAAACGAACACGCACCTTATTACTTTTTAGGACAAATTTATCATATCAGATACTATGGATTCTTTATTGTGGTTCACAGCTTTCAGTTTTATGCCTCTTCTAAAATCACCACAATTTTTTTTGTTTGTGAGAAGGAATAACAGGTCAATCACACCAAACTATGGCCATATGTCACTACAAAATAAAGAAAAAAAATTTAAATTATATTTTGCAAAAAGATAATAAAGCCTATTTTATGACAATCACAATTTGTTTATTTAAAATGATTTTATCATTACAAATAAACACACACAAACACACACACAAAACTAAATTCTTATCATGATAATTATCAAAATACAATAAAAACAGTAATATAGTGAAATATTATTACAATTTAAATTTACTGTTTTCTATTTGACTAATTTTAAAAAGTAATTTATTCCTTTGATGGCAAAGCAGAATTTTCAGCAGCCATTACTCAAGTCTTCAGTGTCATATCCTTCAAAAATTATTCTTATATTTGGTGCATAGAAAATATTTCTTATTATTAAAACTGAATATTTTGTGGAAACCGTGACACACTAATGACACTACCAAACTTCTGACCAGTAGTGTAATTTAACATATAGTTTTAATATATTTACTTATTTTATATATGTATTTAATGTAGCAATGAATGCAATTTTGGCTTATTTTAATTAAAATCGTGTCAAAACAGTATGATTTTTCATTAATTAAAGCAAGAAGATTTTTTTTTTCCTGGTGGGGCAAAATACTTCGATTAATGTCACTATGCAATGCATATCAAAAGTCTTAAAAATAACCCCCATTTTCTACATGCAAAATATAATTTATTTTTATCTTTTGGGCTGATATATGACTCCATAATGCATTGATGCTCGTATAAAATTCACCCTACAGAAGATGCTTATATTCTCATTAGGGATCAGAGACTGAATGCACAAAGTCTGCAACTTACACCTTTAGCAATTACACAGTCTCTGTTTCCGGCACACACACCTCTTCCCCTGAACCATTCAGAAAACAACAGCAAATGCAACCCTGAGCAGCTCATAATGATGCTCACAGTCGACACAGATAAAGACTCAGAGGAAACTAAACTCCCAAGAGCACACTGCCGCAGGGAGCCGTGATCGCAGCCAATGCCCTACAGTTAACCCTCTCTGCACACACATACACACAGGTGTGATGAAGAGAAGCGAACATGTGTAGCACTGTATGCTTAGCAACGGAAGTGAATACAAACCACAACTGTGAGGCCTGAACAAACAAGCTACACAAGGCTTCACACACATGCAGATACAAAACTCTGGAGTTCCCTACATGCAAACACACACACATGCATGTACTCATACTTAGACACATTCATAGACATAAACAAACATGCATGAAAACTGTGTAAAACAAAATGCAACCACACCGGATACATTTCTGTGAAATCATCTGGGCCGATGAAAAGATATGATTAAAATCAAACCAGCTGTATAATGTAGAACTCCACAGAAATCTCTGATAGTTTCTACAGAATTTGATAATTTACGGTCCAGTTCCATCATTAAAATTCAACATTCTTAGGCTTTATCAAATATTTTGCCTAATCTTGATTTTTTTTTTCAGCTAAAAATATAAGTCTCTTTTTTTATCGTTCTGTTTTATTGTATTTTACAGTATTTCAATTGATCAGAATTACAAAATCACCCCTAAAATCATTGCAGAAAAAAGGGGGGAAAATCTACAGATTGCTTTTGGGTCTAAAGAAGAGCAAGAGCATCTTGATCCCCATGAGGGTTAATTTTATGCCGAAATACTCTGATGGCAACTGTCTGAAATAGTTTAAATCAATATCCATTCATATTTTTAGGACACAATATGACCTACACAACAGTTAGTTAATATCACATTCACCCATGAAAAGTGTTGTATCACATCACTGTGCTTGAAAAGCAGAGACTGTTTAGTGTTAGCTGTGTAAGCACAATGCACTGCTAAGGGTGTGTGAGGTGACAGCGTCAATCTGCTTCAGCTCTTTAAAGAACTATTAATGTCTAATCCCAATGCCACTGACTGTGAAAACTAAAGTGACTCTTGAGCTCTGTGCTAAGTCCTCCTGCCCTGAATCGCTCAGAAGCAGCCCCAGAGACCCATGTGACGCCATCCCTAACTGCTTTTAGAAGATCTTAACATAGACCCACCGGACAGACCGGAAGGGGAAACACTGAGTTGGTTAGTTTTTGACCCCATCTTTGACCCTAATTTAGCCAGGCTCATAATAATTAAACTTGGCTAAGTCCTTGTAAAAATGAATAGGCAGAAAAGCTCACTTTAGAACTAATACAGGCTACACTGTGTTTGAAACGAGCCTACTGTTTGCAAGCATACTGATCTTTTTAACAGTATGTGTTATTCAACCATAAATATTAGCATGGTTTCATCTCAGAAATACAGTTTGTACACAGCTCTCTTGAATACTTGTTTCTGACTGTTGAATTGTGACATTCAGCGGTCAAATATTTTCATACACTGACTGATATTCTAATTGATCTTTGTCCCAAACAATCAATTTCTAATAGACACAAAACTGATAGCTGTGCTAGTTTCATGTGTCACGTCACTCTGTGGTCTCTTTGTTCTCACAGAATAAAGTTTCAAATAAATAGATATAAAGTAAATATAAAACATATTGCAAATATATATTCTTAAGGACATCAAAACCTAAAATAAAACTCCAGAAAGGTGTACAATATGTGACCTTTAACAAAAGGAGAGTGGGACGGTGGGCAGTGCTCGGGGTGGTGACTGAAGGTGGTGACTGTGTAGTTCTAACGTCAACTTTTTACGTAAGTCACAACAGTTCGTGAAAAATCACAGCTACTTTATGCAGGCTGTGTGCATTTTACTGTGGACTGTTTTGAAACTTATATGGTAGTTAAATAGCCCCTAGACCTCAGTTATCGTGAAAAAAGCCAGGAAATTTCAGTTTTGACAATATGGGACCTTTAAATATACAGTGTCTATGCATGTTTGCATACAAAAACTGTAGATTTACCACATGTTCAGAATCATACCGGTGGATTTATGGATAGTTTTTTAATGTGTTGCTCAAAACTATTTGTAACAAAATAGTTATTGCGAAAAAAGTATGAAGACACAAGCGAAGGATGAGGTTTGAGAGTGAATGAAGTAAGCGGTCAGAAGGTTATGAGTCAATGAGTGTGAGCCACAAGTTTTAAACAACCTCAGCTTGTTTGCTACCTTTAAAGGCCCCATGAACTCACTTGACGAAGACACTTGACAAAGGATTTTTGGGCGAAATATATCAAAGAGCTTGTTTTCTTTTTTAAAATAGCCAACAGACTTCACATCACGGCTAGCAAAATCAAAGTTTGCTACATGCTATGCTATTGCTAGTAGGTTTTATTGGACAAAATTTTAGACACGCCCATAAGTGCATAATGAGTCATCAATATTTATTTTTTTTCTAGAGAAAGATAACTTTTAGTTGTATGCAAGCATTTATATGACCTCCAAACTACAAACAGTGTTGGGAAAAGTTACTTTTAAAAGTAACACGCGACGCGATAAAAGGTATCGTTTCCATGTTAATCAGAGGTTTTGTCCTAACTAGCCGCGACAGCGACAAGCAAAATTTCTAATTTAGAAACGTTTTTTATTTCCGCGACGTCACGGCTGGAACAACAACATACAAACTATAGTACAGTAGATAATCTCAGGTGATTATGTGCTTTATTCTAAGTTAAAAGTCTCTAATATGAGTTTAAATATAATTTTGTGTGACCTTATAGCCATACTGAAAGCAACAATAGATAGTTTACCTCAGATCTTGAAAATAAATTAAAGCAAAGATGACCGTTAAAACTGTGGACTCTCTGTGAACCAACGAGTGTATTCCATGACAAAGATGGTGTCAGTCACTCAGTATGTACATTTAATGATGTTAAAAAGGTTTAATATTTATGAATTAGATTATAAATGTATCAATTTCATTGCGAGTGCAGAGCGCTTGCAGAGAGAGCCCGCCCACACACGGTTTTTCTGATTGGCTGTGAAATTTGATTGACTCTGTCGCGTCGCGTCTGGTGTGGACGGCCGAATTGCTTGTCGCTGGAATCTTGTCGCATCGCGTCGCGTGTAGTTAGGACACGGTGTAATGCATTACAATATTGAGTTACTCCCTAAAAAGTAACTAATTACGTTATTCACAGCAGTTACATTTTATGGAAAGTAATGCTTTACGTTACTTTTTAAATCTGGGCAGGGCTTGCTTGTTTGGTTTTAATATAAAAAGTTCTATTTTTGGCAAATGTAAATGCCCTTTCACTAGGGTTGGGTACCGAAACTTACCTATGTAACCGGTATGTACTAGAACTGAATCAGAACGCAGATTTCGGTGCCACTTAAATGCTTGAGCGATCGATTGAAATATTTGTTCTCCGAAACGGACGTA